GCTCTAGTGTTAGAGTGCTAGCCTTAAGCAAAAGGAGCTTAGGAATAGTGCCTACACTGAGAGTTCAAAGTCTAGGACCAGCAAAAAAGAAAAAGAAGGAGCTGGGAAGGTGGCTTAGTGGCTTGCATGCATGAGGCCCTGGGTTCGATTCCTCAGCATCACATAAGCAGAAAAAGCCGGAAGTGGTGCTGTGGCTCAAGTGGTAGAGTGCTCGCCTTGAGCTGAAGAGCTGAGGGACAGCGCCCAGGCCCACAGTTCAGCCCCCATGACCGACAGAAGAAAAAAAAAGATGCCTAAAAGTAGAATACCAGACTTCTCCTACCAATCAACCTTTACATACTTTGAGGATGAGATTTCAGGGATTCTTGAACCAGATGGGTAGTCAGCTAAAGCCCACAGTTCCTCCCTGGTGCTGGTGATGCCCAGCTAGCTTGGGAGACAAGCAGCCACTTGCTACACAGGACTAAAGGCAGGAATGGAGCTACAGAAGACTTGGAGCCTGGCAGAGGAGACAAGGTCAGATCCAATGCTATTGGAATAGGAAAGTCCTAAGAGATGGGGTTAAAAAAGAAACTTGGAACTAGATTATTGGATCTTTTAGAAATAGGGTATGGTTTAGTAAAATCACTAATAATAACTTCCAGACAACCTTAAAGAGATGTCTGTATCTCCTGAGAATGTATAACCATTGAAAACAATGGGAAGAGAATAATAACTGACTTTATTGAGCACTTACTTGGTGGCAGACACTCTTAACTGCTGTATGTGTGTTGGTACTGTTTTTTTTTTTTCTTCCCCTTCAGTTGTGGGGCTTGAACCTCATAAGCAACCTCTGATTGCTGTCCCTGAGCTTCTTTGTGTTTGAGGCTAGCATTCTACCACTTGAGCCATAGCGCTACTTCGTTTTGTTTGTGTGTGTGTGTGTGTGTATGTGTGCATGTGCGTGTGTGTGCGTGTGCGTGCGTGTTTGATTTTTGGTCGGTTGTGGGGCCTGAACTCTGGGCCTGCATGCTGTCCCTCAGCTCTTCAGCTCAAGGCTAGTGCTGTACCACTTGAGCCACAGAGCCACTTATGGCTTTTTCTGCTTATGTGGTGCTGAGGACTTGAACCCAGGGACTCATGCATGCAAGGCAAGCGCTTTACTGCTGAGCCACCTTCCCAGCCCCCACTTCCAGTTTTTGAGTGGTTAATTGGAGATGAGTCTCCTGGGAATTGTTCTGCCCAGACTGGCTTTGAACCATGATCCTCAGATCTCAGCTGCCTAAGTAGTTAGGATTTCAGGCATGAGCCACAAACCTCTGACATGAGTAAGTGCTGCTTTTGAGTCACCTTCACAGTAATCCTGCAAAAAAGGTGATGTGAGTCCCCATATTACATGCAAACTGAGACTCTGAGTTGTTGAGGGACTTGGTTAAAACATTTAGTCAGCAGGTGTTCATGAGGTGTCTGAGCACAAGGCTTTGGCAATGCAGTGAACACATGGGCCAGATTCCGTGTGATCTCAGAGCCAACAGCTGAGGAAAGAACCATTAATTAAGAGAATCACAGCAGAGTGGGGAAATGTGTGGGCCCTAAGGAAAAGGGACCAATGGAAACCTGGTAAAACTAAGAACTAACAGATAAAGAAGGAACTATTCCATCCATTGGGGGTAGGGAGCTGTTTGTTGTTGGCTTTTGTGTTTTGTGTTCATCATGCTGGTGTTGGAACAGAAAGCCTTACACTTGGTAGACCAGTACCAGCAGCTGGGATTACAGTAGGGAACCACCAGCACCTGGCAGAAATTCTGATTTCATTAGTACAGGGTAGTATTTTGAAATAGCTTCCTCAGATAGTTTAATGTTCAATCAGGTGTACTGATTCAGTCATTTGTAATTGGAAAACAATACATTGAGGCTGCTGTAGTAGCCATAACAAACTACTAAACTGATCACTTACACGGGTAACTTTCTTTTTTTTCTTTTTTTTTCTTTGTTTTTGTCAGTCATGGGGCTTGAACTCTGGGCCTGAGCGCTGTCCCTCAGCTCTTCAGCTTAAGGCGAGCACTCTACCTCTTGAGCTACAGCGCCACTTCCGGTTTTCTAGTGGTTTTATTGGAGATAGGAGTCTCACGGTCTTTCCTGCCCAGGCTGGCTTTGAGCCATGATCCTCAGATCTCAGCCTCCTGAGTAGCTAGGATTACAGGCCTGAGCCACCAGTGCCCGGCACAGGTAACTTCCTGTCTAACAATTCTGAAGGAAACCTGAGATCATTGAATTGGCAAAGCTACTTCCTTCCAGGGCTCTGAGAAACTCTGAACTACCCAAAAAAAGCCAGAAGTGGACCTTTGGCTCAAGTGGTAGAGCTAGCATTTGGCAAACCTCCCTAGCTCCAAATAAGATGTTATTGGAGGGGTTTGAGGATGAAGGTAGGAGTAGGATTTTAAACACAACAGGCAGCAAAAAGGTAGGAACCTTGAAGAGCCTTCCTGATCCCCTGATCACGCCACTGTGCCATTTCCTCAAACTAGCTTTGATGGAATCTGGAAATACATATGTATTATTTTTAATGTACCTTAGCGTCAGACCCTGACTTCACAACAGTCATGCAAAGTGAGAGGAAGAAACAAATCCAGAGAGACTAAGAACTTGAAGGCTCAGGAAATAATCAAGAGCAAAGTAGGTTACAAGGGAAACATAGACCATGTCTGCCAAGGACAGAAAAGTTAAGTTCAAACCCTGGACTGGGCAAGGATCCCAGAAGCTATCTGGCCTCTCTCCAGCAGTTCGTGGGCAACATAAGCCTTTCCCTGCACACTGCCTTACAGCCTTAGGTGCCCAGGAGCTTTCTCTATGATGGCATTACTGCCACACCGCATCTCTCAGAGGCCCCATGGGACATGCAGAACACCCTGTGTCCAAGTTGTGATGCTCAGGAGAAATCTGATTGACCCATCCCAGTCAAGTTACCCACCTGGTCCAATAACCTAGCCACTGAGGTGGGTGTCCCCAGCTTCCTGTGCAGTCTCAAAGAACAGATGAGATGAGCTGGGATAGTAGCCTCATTAATAAATAATGACCAGCATAGAAGAAAAAGCAGAAAAGAATGTTGTGTGCAGCGGCTAGAAGAGACCAAGCAAACACAGCGAGATACCTGGAGCCACTGCTATTGTACGTGAGGAAGCAGCCTGGACAGGGTGACAGAGAAGGGAGAGAGAACACACAGGGAGGGAAATTTAGTGGGAACCAGTGACGGTGAGGGTGAGGAAAAGGAGGTGTGGTGATGGAGTCCTGAGCCTTTCCCTGAGGCTGTGGGCACTGGAAGACCACGTTGGGGAGAGAGGAGATTTTGAATCAGTCTGATTCTTTTTAGTTTTGCTGATGTTTCCGTATGTAGTATTTGTACTCAGTCCTAAATTCCAAACATCTGTACTTAAAAGTCTTTCTCTAGCACTCTGGATGTTCCCCCTGCTGCCTGTCACTCATGTCTTCTTATCTTCCAAGACAATTTACATATTGTGACACAATTAAGCATGCACTTTTTTCAGTTTTTGTTTCATCATGTGTGTATGTGTGTGTGCATGCGTGTCAATACTTGGGTTTGACCTCAGATCCTAGACTCTCTCTAGCTTTTTGCCATGGCTGATTCTGTACCACTTGAACCACAATTTCACTTTTAGCTTTTGGTACTTAATTGGAGATAAGTGTCTCGCAGACTTTCCCTGCACTGGCTGGCCTTGGATCACTATCCTTAGATCGCAGCCTGCTAGAATTACAGGCATAAACCACTAGCACCAAGCTGCACATAGTTTTCTTTGGAGATGTTGATTTTGAAGTGCCTGTCAACTGTCAGTACTTGTGAGGTACTGTGCCATTTTCAAATATAAACAATCTAGGACTCAGACTTAGTCTTGGACACCTTTTATTTTTAGGACCAGTGTTTTCCTTTGTTAAGTAATTCACAAACTTCCTAAATTGTTTCAAGTGTTCAAAAGGAAGCAGGTCGAGGAATGGAATTAACGTAGGTGCCAATCAACTGATACATGGCTAGAGAAAATGTGGTATATGCACTCAGCAGAGAATGTACAGAAAAGGAGATAGAGATGTTTCAGAAAGAAAAAATAATAAATTTAATGAATTTATATGGGTAAGAGTTAGTTTGCATATGTTCAGATGAGTATGTTTATACATATATACTTACTTCATTCATATTGAAGTACATTGTTCACCCTATGCTTTTCTCATTTCTTGTGAGATCATCTAATAGCAACACGTACGGATCTACCTCTGACTTTTGAAAGCCTTGGTAGTATTCCAAAGTATTGATAAGAGTTGAGGGAAAGTGGACCTATGTAGCGTACAGATGGCAGGATAAGCTGATCATCTAACACCTGCCTGACAGGTAAATGAGAGCTACAAAAGAATGAGGAAATAAGGACTGGCATCCCAGCCTTACAGGGAACAGAAAAGAGACCTGTCAATCTATCTTCAAGAATCCCAACTCTGGGGCTGGGGAGGTGGCTCAGTGGTAGACACTTGCCTTGCATGCTCAAGGCCCTGGGTTCGATTCCTCAGCACCACATAAGAAAAAAGCCGGAAGTGGCGCTGTGGCTCAAGTGGTAGAGTGCTATCCTTGAGCTGAAGAGCTGAGGGCAGCGTCCAGGCCCAGAATTCAGGCCCCACGACTGGACCCCCCCCAAAAAAAAAAAAGAATCCCAACTCTCACTATTTATCCCAGAGCCAAGCTCTGTGTGGAGAATATGGCACAAGATGGCTGATGGGGTGAACTACCTTTTGTCATGTTTGTGCCACACACTTGCTTTCTCAGCCGTATTTCTCTTCTAACAAACTTTCTTATCACCTTTCCTATGTTCACATCTTGCCTAAATTCTTCTTTTGCCAGGCACTGAGACTAAGGTTGTTTAACTATTGTAAACTTTCTGGTAACGTATTCGGTGTGTTGGCTGGGAAGTTAGAGATTAAGTATGTCTTTTTCTGACTTGGACTGATGGAATGGTTACGGAATGCGTACTGGTCATTGAACTGGCAGTGACCACACAGGATAGTGCACCTGGGAAGTCCCGGTTTGTACTGCACTTGCATTCATGCTTGCCACTCTGTGCCCTTATCACTCCTAGGATAAGTTCGTGGGTCAAAAGTTGCTGGGTAAATATCTGTATAGATTTTGTCCTGTCCCCTTCCAAGGTTACACCCATTCACAATCCCATTTATAATCACCGTAGTAGTGTTTGATTGTAACTCTGTATACTCCTGAAACACACTTCATCTTTGCCCCACTGATAATAGCCAGGCTATTCAACTTTCCCTCTCTTGGCTAATTGGACTGTGATACTGGTCTGTATTCCTGATAGGAAATGGTGAATGGTGCTGTTCTGAAGTACTTTTTCTGGTTGGAATACAAATTCTCAAACCTGATGACAAGAGCAGTCTGACAACCTCCTAAACAGACTGCTGGGGAAGTGGGGAGGGGTCAGAAAGAGGGTGAGAGCTGGGTATAGTCAAAGTAGTTTGTTTGCATGTATAAAAATAAAACAATGAGACCTGTTTTAAGGAGTAGGGCCAGGCACTGGTAGCTCATGCCTGTAATTCTGGCTACTAAGGAGGCTGAGATCTAAGGATTGTGGCTCCAAGCTAGCCTGGGAAGGAATGTCCATGAAAGTCTTATCTCCAGTAAACTAACAGAAAATGGAAGTGGTTCTGTGGCTCAAGTGGTAGAGTGCCAGCCTTGAGCTGAAGAGCTGAGGGACAGCGGCCAGGCCCAGTGTTCAAGCCCCACAACTGAACCCGCCCTCCCCCCGCCAAAAAAAAAAAAAGGAGTGGGGAGGGAAAGGAAGAGTGATAAAGTAAGTGAGGTTGGTTGGGATACATGTTTATATGTGGGGAAATACCACAGTGAAACCTGGTTTGGCCAGGCACTCATGGCTCACACCTGTAATCCTAGCTATTCAGGAAGCTGAGATTTGAGGATCAAGATTAGAAGCCAGCCTGGTCAGACAGATCTATGGACATTATCTCTACTTAACAAGCAAAACACCAGAAGTAGAGGTATAGCCAAGTGGCAGAGCACCAGCCTTGAGTGGAAAAAAGCTAAGGGACAGTTCCCAAGACATGAGTTCAAGCCTGAGTTCCAGCATAAGAAAGCTAACAACATAGCCAGAGGTCAGTGGCTAATGGCTGTAATCCTACCTACTCAGGAAGCTGAGATCTGAGGATCATTGTTTGATGCTAGCTCGGGCAGGAAAGTCCGTGGGACTTTTGTCTCCAGTTAACCACCAAAAAGCCAGCAGTGGAGCTGTGATTCATGTGGTAAAGTGCTAGCCTTAAGCAACGAAAGCTCAAAGACAGCTCCCAGGCTCTGAGTTCAAGCACCAGGACTTGCACACACAAATCTGTTGTTTGCACAACTAATATACTGGAATAAAAAGATGAAATGAAACAAAATAATATAAACATATATCAAATCTTGGTCTAGGGATATGGTTCAAGTGGTAAAGGACCTACCTAGCAAGCAGAGGCCCTAAACTCAAACCATAGTATCACTGGAAAAGAAAGAGTAGGAGAGAAAGAGAGAGACAGACAGACAGAGACATAAAGAGAGAAAGAGTAGCATTACACCAATATTAAATTTCAGAGTGGGATAATGTAGACAGGTACTTTGTCCTGGATGAAATGTCAGGATATCGGCTTCATTTTTTTTTTTTTTAGACAGTGTCTTGCCCAGCCCTGGTAGCTGCTGGTAGCTGTGCAATGCGACCCTCCTGCCCCAGCACCCCATATGCTGGGGTAATCAGTGTGGACCAGCATGTCAGGATTCTGCAGCTTTTAAAGTAAAAAAATGTAGGCCTTTGGGATTGGTACTCAAGCTGGTGCTCTGCCATTGGAAGCCCCAGGTCTTTTTCTTTAGTTATTTTTTAGGTAAAGGTCTTGTGTATCTGCTGTGCCAGCCTGGACTGAAGTCCTCCTATCAGTATTTCCCCCAGAGATGGGGTGGCTGGGCACCACCATGCCCAGCTTGTTATGATGGGATCTTCTGGACCTTCTGCCTTGACTGCCCTCAAACTGTAATCTTCCCAGTCTTAGCCTCCACATCCTTAGTAGTTAGGATTACAGGGATGAGCCACCATGACAAGTCAATTTTTTTTCCAGTAGAAGCAAATGTAAGAAAGTGCTGACTATTGATCAGTCTAGGAGAGGATAAGAATATAGATGTTCATTGTATTGTATTTCAGCTTTTCTTTGACTTATTTTTAACACTATGAAGTTGAGGAATCTACAAGATTTAAAAACCAAGTCCCAGAACTGGTGTGTGTGCATGCGTGCGCACACACACACACACACACACACACACAAAACAATAAAGCAAAACAAAAACATGGGGGGGGAGAGAGAAATAGATATATGACAGTGTTGGAGCTTGAACTCAGAGCCTCAGACTCTCATTTAGGATTTTTTTTTTTTGGTCAGTCATGGGGCTTGAACTCTGGGCCTGGGCGCAGTCCCTCAGCTCTTCAGCTCAAGGCTCTACCACTTGAGCCACAGTGCCACTTCCAGTTTTCTGGTGGTTTATTGGAGGTAAGAGTCTCACAGACTTTCCTGCTGGGGCTGGCTTTGAACCATGATCCTCAGATCTCAGCCTCCTGAGTAGCTAGGATTACAGACTTGAGCCATCAGTGCCCAGCCTTCATTTGGGCTATTTTTTTTTGCTCAAGCATGGCATTCTACCACTTGAGCCACTCATCTCCTAGACTTTTCTGCACAGGCTGGCTTCACCACTCTCCTCAGATCTCAGCATCCTGACCTAGGATTACAGGCAGGAACCACTAGGCTCCTGGCAATGTCTACTGCTTTTTAACCTCTCAAAGGAGAAGGCAGATGCAATAGCTCTTTCCTGTCTCCTGTTCTTGTAATTTAACATCTAAAAGTTGTTGTGGTGAGAGGGGAGCTATCTCCTTTGTTATTTTTAATATTTTGGAACTATTATTTAATATTTAACTTGGAAAAATATTTGACAGTAAATACTAACACTTAATGTTGATAAACCTCAGTTTCTGTCTCAGCTATCCTGCTTTAGCATTGTATGATGCTTTAATGAGATGGCAAATGTAAAGCACTTACATGGGTACCCACTTAGTATAACAGCACATGCATATGTGTGCAGGCATGCACGTACACACACACACACACACACACTCAGCCAGTGGCAGTACTATCCCTCCATATACTCAGTAGATGCCTCGTTGCCTAGCCCATCCCCACCCCCATGTCTGCATTCAGTAGCTCAGCATGTTCTGCCTCATTATTCCAAATGCATGTTCTTAACCAGCCGCTCCAAGTCACCTCCTGTCCCGGTATGTATTATGTTTAGTTTTAGCATATCAGAAATGCCAGTGAGCTGTGCACAGGTACAGCACTTACTCTCTTTTATTCATAGTAGTTCATATTCTCAGGTGACAAGGCTTGTTTTGGACAGGATGTTCGGTTTTGAACTCAGGGCTTCAGCACTTTACCTATGAGCCATGCTTCCACCAATCCCTTCTTTCTTACTTCTTGCAGTAACGTTCTTACTGCTCCTTTTCCTTCTACTCTTGACTCCCTGGCCCCACAATATCCTCCATGGCAGACATTGTAAGTTTATTGGGGACCGTCACCCTCCTGTGGGAGCCATCCTGTAGTTTTTTACCCTTAGGAACTGACATCAAGACAAGTCTCCTGCCTGGCTCTCTATCCTCTTCTCTTAACCTTTCCCATGCTCGCTGCATTCCAGCACACAGAAACACAGCCAGGCTTTGTCCCGTTTCTGGAAACTCTGCCTGAAGCTGCTTCCTTCTCTTCTTCCTCTTCCTTGCTCTTTTTTATTTCTGGTCCTGAGGCTTGAACTCAGGGCCTGCACTCTGTCCCTGAGCCTCTCTGTGCTCAAGGCTAGTGCTCTACCACTGGAGTCACAGTACCACTTCTGGCTTTTTCTGAGTAGTTTATTGGAGATAAGAGTTTCATGGGGGCTGGGAATGTGGCTTAGTGGTAGAGTGCTTGCCTACCATGCATGAATCCCTGTGTTCTATTCCTCAGTACCACATAAACAGAAAATGCAGGAGGTGGTGCTCTGGCTCAAGTGGTAGAGTGCTAGCCTTGAGCAAAAGAAGCTCAGGGACAGTGTCCAGACCCTGAGTTCAAGCCCCAGGATTGGCCAAAAAAAAAAAAAAGTCAAAGGTTTTCCTGCCCGGACTGGCTTTGAACTGCGATCCTCAGATCTCAGCCTCCTGAGTAGCTAGGATTGCAGGTGTGAGCCACAGACTCCCAGCCTCTTCCTTGTTCTTTAGGTCCCAGTTGAAATGTCATTTCCTCAGTGAGGTCTTCCCTGACCATCTAATGTTGCAGATTGCCTCCACCTACCAATATCACCTAGCTTACTGTCTTTAAAGTAGTTATTGTTATCTAAAATTAACTAATTTATTTTTCCAGCCCTCATATGTCTCCATTTAGAATGTAGTCTAGGGGCTGGGAAGGTGGCTCAGTGGTAGAGTGCTTGCCTTGCATGCCTGAGGCCCTGGGTTCAATTCCTCAGTACCACATAAGCAAAAAGAAAAAAGCCTGGAAGTGGTGCTGTGGCTCAAGTGGTAGAGCGCTAGCCTTGAGCTGAAGAGCTGAGGGACAGTGCCCCAGCCCAGAGTTCAAGCCCCACGACTGGACCCCCCCCCCAAAAAAAAAGAATGTAGTCTAGATAGTGAACCTTGTGTGTCTTGTCCACAAATACACTGTCAACACCAGAACCTTGTGCTGAGCACCAGTGGCGCATGCCTGTCATCCTAACTAATCAGGAGACTGAGATCTGAGGATTCCAATTGGAAGCCAGCCCAGGCAAAGCAGTGCATGAGATACTTATCTCCAAATAATCAGCTAAGCTAGAAGTGAATCTGTGGCTCAAGTGATACAGTTCCAGCTGTGAGTGAAAAAGCTGAGGGAGAGCACGAGGCCTCGAGTTAAAGCCCTAGTTTCACAACCAAAAGGAAACAACAGCAGAACCTCCAACCATTCCTGGCCTATAGTCGGCACTTGGTAAATGCTTGTGAAATGTACCAGTGCATTAAGTCCTGTGACATAGGTTACAATTCTATAACATCTAGCATTCCATCCCTCAGGCCAGGGTGTGTCACTGTACATTCCCCAGTCGGCCATCAATGCCACCGTTGACCAAGACATTCTGCTGTCGGTGGACTACTCCTGCCACGGGGTGCCCACCATCGAGTGGAGGTACACATCCACCTGGGGCATGCAGAAGATTGTGGAGTGGAAACCAGGGACTCCAGCCAACGTTTCCCAGAGCCACAAGGACAGAGTCTGCACTTTTGACAATGGCTCCATCCAGCTGTTCGGTGTGGGTGTGCGGGACTCCGGCTACTATGTCATCACGGTGACAGAGCGCCTGGGGAGCAGCCAGTTTGGCACCATTGTCCTGCATGTGTCCGGTGAGCGCCCCGTGGGCCCTCAGAGCTGCAGGCGAGGTGGGGGGGGTTGCGGGGGAACAGCAGGCGTAGTGATATTAAAGGCCTATGTCTCCCCCCTTTCCCTTCCCCCTAGAGATCCTTTATGAAGACCTTCACTTTGTCGCTGTCTTCCTTGCCTTGCTCGCTGCCGTGGCTGCAGTGTTAATCAGTCTCATGTGGGTGTGCAACAGATGTGCATACAAATTCCAGAGGAAGAGAAGACACAAACTCAAAGGTAATGCTCTGAGCCTAGGAAAGCAAGGACAATCCACTCATGGCTTTTTGGCCAGGCCAGAGATGGTCTGTGTTGTCTTTTTGTTGTTTTTTGGTGCAGTCCTAGGTTTTGAACTCGGGGACTGGGCAAGCACTGTCTTTGGGCTTTGTCGTGCAGAGCTAGCACTCTTATCACTTGAGACACAGATCCACTTCCCATGTTTTCACTTGTTTTTTGGTATTTAATTTGGAGATAAGAATCTTGCGGACTTTTCTGCCCTAGTTGGCTTCAAACCTCCATCCTCAATCTCAGCCTTCTGAGTAGCTAGGATTAGAGGAATAAGCCTCTTTTGCCCAGCTGGTATAAGTTGTCTTTGATAGTATTGGGGCTTAAAGTCAGTGTCTCTTCCTCTTCCTTTAGCTTTTCATTCAAGGCTGGTGTTCTGTTAGTTACTTAAGCTACTCCGTCTAGCTTTTTGTTGGTTAATTGGAGATAAGAATCTCACAGACTTTTAAACTCAGGCTGGTTTTTTTTTTTGGGGGGGGTCCAGTTGTGGGGCCTGAACTCTGGGCCTGGGCGCTGTCCCTCAGCTCTTCAGCTCAAGACTAATGCTCTACCACTTGACCCACAGTGCCACTTCTGGCTTTTTTTCTTTATGTGGTGCTGAGGAATCGAACCCAGGGCCTCAGGCATGCAAGGCAAGCACTCTACCACTGAGCCACCTTCCCAGCCCCTCAGGCTGTTTTTTAAAACAGTCCCTAGATCTCAGCTTTCTGAGTAGCTAGGATTACAGGCGTCAGCCACTGCCTTGGGCATTGTGTTGTTCATCCTGTGTGTCAAGGCACCAGTGGATCATGCCTATAGTCCAAGTTACTCAGGATGCTGAGATCTAAGGATTGCAGTTTGAAGCTAGCCAGAGCAGGAAAGTCCATGAGACTCTTTCCTTTTAATTTTTTTCTAGGCCCAAGACTGGGATTTGAACTCAGTATCTGTGGCTGCTTTCGCTCATTGGCTAGAGTTCTTACAACTGAGCCATGCCTCCAATCCTGAGAGTCCTATTTTAATTAACCACCAAAAAAAAGAAAGAAGGAAAAGGAAAGCTGTAAGAGGCACTGTGGCTCCAATAGTAAAGCATCAGCCTTGAGCACAAAAGCCATGGACTATGCCCAAGCCCTGCCCTGGATTCAAGCCCCAGGACCGGTACCCACAAAAAGGGAGAGGAGGGGTGGCTAGAATGTGGGTTAGTGGTTGAGTGCTTGGCTGGCATGCATGAAGCCCTGGGTTCAATTCTTCAGCACCACCTAAACAGAAAAAGCCAGAAGTGACGCTGTGGCTCAAGTGGTAGAGTGCTAACCTTGAGCAAAAGAAGCTCAAGAGACAGGGCCCAGGCTCTGAGTCCAAGCCCTGGAGGGCGGGGAGGGAGAAGCATCACTATCATTGTATGGTTGACTTTCATTTTATTGGCTTGTCTTTTGCTTCACAGAAAGCACAACTGAAGAAATTGAGCTACAGGATGTTGAGTGTTAGTCACAGCTGGGCCCAATTACTTTGCTATCTCAATACCTCAAGAGGAAAGCTTTATTTTCCAATGAAACAAACAAACAGAGCCAGAGCCAATCTGTTCTTCAATCTCCTGTGGTCTTGTCACACAGGCCATTCCCAGTGAGACAGCTGGAAGGGAAAGAAAATTGATAACATGGAGTTGAAGACTGCAGATTAAACAAATTCAACTTTAGGACTTGCATGAAGTTCACAGAGAAGCTTTGAACCAGGAACTTTGCTTGGCTGCAGCTTCAAGGCCTTGTCTATAACCCATAACCATCGGATGCTGCTCATGATGCTCATGACTCTCAAATGGACTTTGATGGCCTTGGGGAGCTTCTGTCTCAGGGGCCAGTATCTCCAGAGGGCCTGGTCTGCAGCCAGCACTGGAAGACACTCTGTGACTTTATGCTCCTGTCTGCTCTGAAAATAGCTGCACCTTCCAGGAGGGGCTCATGGGATAGTGTCTGCCCAGTGAATGCAAGACCATGAGTCCAAACTCCAATACTTCCTCCAAAAAGAGCAAGCCTGAGAGGTGCTGTTGTGCTGTAGCAAGTTGCTAAGAGGTGAGGGCCTGTGGCTTGGAGTATTAGAAAAGCTCAGGGTGCTTCTTTGGATACAAAGAAAAGAAAGAAAAACATTGTTCTCTTTCTCCTTCATTCCAAAATCAGCTGGATTTCTCCTCCTTAGGCCCAGCTTAGGTCAATGTGAGGAAAGTGCAGCTCACCTCCACCGGGGGCAGCACCTGCAGCTGGGTAAGGCCAATGTGTGAGACTGAAGCCTTCCTAGTGGATGGAACAACTGGAACTCAGTTATCTTGGGCAGTCGCTAATACTTTACGCATCCAGTCAAGGTCCCTGCTCTCCTCATGTGGGCTGAGAAGCACTTGGCCTTCACCTACCTCATAGTTAGGATATGAAGAGAGGCCACAGATCGCATACTGCATCTGAGCAATGCAAGAGAAGCATGAGAATTCGTCAAAGATCTGGAAAGTTGTATTGCCAAGTGCTGTCTTATCTGAGTCCTGCGGTACTGGGCCCGTTGAGCTTAGGGGTCAGATCAGTTGGCCTTGGGCCTTATTTTCTCAGGTTGGTGGTCACAGTGTTTACCATGCCAGCTTCCACTGAAAAAGCTCTAAAAGCAGGCAAGAATTTATTTTCCACTCCTTTCTCTCTACTGTTCCTAACTGGGCCAAAGTCACCACTTTAGTCATGATGGAAGGCTGAGGTCCTTAGCTATGTTTCTACAACACAGCCGAAAAATCATGCATACAAAAATGGAGTGTTGCTAGAACATTCCTTTTCTTCTTTAAGATCCTCCATGTGGGGGCTGGGATGGCTCAGTGGTAGAGCGCTTGCCTTGCATGCATGAGGCCATGGGTTCTATTCCTCAGCACCACATAAGCAAAAAGAAAAGAGCCGGAAGTGGTGCTGTGGCTCAAGTGTAGAGCGCTAGCCTTGAGCTGAAGAGCTGAGGGACAGCACCCAGGCCCAGAGTTCAGGCCCACGACCGGACCCAAAAAAAAAAAAAAGATCCTCCATGTCCCTACCTTTTCTACTGTCCATGTGGCAGGTAAGGAGTTACCTGGAGAAGTCATTTACAGGCCTTTCCCTAAACAGAGCTACAGGAAGGGACCAGACAGGAGCTGGCAGTGATCTTGAGAAAGGCTCCAAATATTCCAGTGCACTTTCTCCAAAGACATGAAAGCAATGGGGCTGCACACCTGACATGTAGCTCTGTACCTGACACCTCAGGCCACATCCTGGGTCTCCTCCTCACATTATTGTAGTCAGAAACCAGACCACTTCCAGGACCGTTTCTGTGCACACAATGAAGAAATGCTTTAGAAGAGATCAAAGATAATCTGTCTCCTTCCTCAAAGCACTACCAGTAGGATGGATCTTGGAACTGCAGGAGCATCACTTTTTTAAAAAATTTTATTGTTACTGTAAAGGTGATGTACAGGGGCTGGGAAGGTGGCTCAATGGTAGAGTGCTTGCCTTGAATGCATGAGGCCCTGGGTTTGATTCCTCAGCACCACATTAGCACATGTCACTGTGGCTCAAGTGGTAGAGCTCTAGCCTTGAGCTGAAGAGCTGAAGAGCTGAGGGACAGTGCCCAGGCTGAGTTCAGGTCCCACAACTGACTGTAACTGTAGTTACATAAGTCAGGTAATGAGTACATTTCTTTTTGAATAGGGTCACCTCATTCCTCGTTTTCTCCCAGTTTTTCCCTTCCTGGCCTCCTTCCTTCACAAGGTGTATAGTTCATTTCCAACAGTGTCTAGTGAGTATCACTACTGCATTTGTTCACCCTTTGTTCCACCCTTTCTATGTTCCCCCTTACCCTCCTCAAAACAGATAAACTTACCAGACAAAAGGTACAGAAAACCAGTGGCAAAGGAGAAAAAAGAAAAGCAAAATTAAAACACCTCACTTAAATTTTTTGGAGTTCATTTTGATAAACAGTTTATATGATTATATGCATATAGGTATTGAGCCTTTATGATCCTAAGAATGTCCTTTGGTCTCTCTGTGAATGTCTAGAGTCTTATATAATTTATCATGTCCAAGTGTTGTTTTTATTTGTATTCTACCATCCAGTGTGTTTACATGTAGATTTATAGGCACAAATTAGTTACAACAAATGAGGGAAACCATGCAACCTGTGTTTCTTTTTTCTTTTTGGGTCCGGTCGTGGGGCCTGAATTCTGGGCCTGGGCGCTGTCCCTCAGCTTTTCAGCTCAAGGCTAGTGCTCTACCACTTGAACCACAGCACCACTTCCGGCTTTTTTTTCTTTTTGCTTATGTGGTGCTGAGGAATCGAACCCAGGGCCTCATGCATGCAAGGCAAGCGCTCTACCACTGAGCCACCTTCCCAGCCCCCAACCTGTGTTTCTTTGGGTCTGGGTTAAGTCGCTTAACATAATTTTTTCCAAGTCTTTCCATTTCCTTATGAATGGTACAATATCATTCTTTCTGATGGAAGTACAGAATTCCATTGTGTACATATACCACATCTTCTTGATCCACTGAGGGGCAACTGGGTTGATTCCCTATCTTGGCTATGGTAAATAGTGCTGCAATGAACATAGTTGTACTGATAGCTTTAGTGTGGTTGTGGTCATTTGGGTAAATGCCCAGGAGTGGAATTGTTGGGTCATAGGGAAGCTCTGTTGTCTTTTGAGGAACCTCCATACTGCTTTCCAGAGTGGTGAGCTCCTTGGGATTCAGGTATGGGAAGCTTCATAATTAAGGGAAAGGGTCTCCAGTGGAGGCCTTTATGGGCAAACTCATATGTAAAGAGAAAGGTTATTTTCTCAGCTTACTATTTCTTTGAAAAGGGAATGTTTGTGCACTTTAAAGCTTTCCCATTTTAAAATTACAGAGCCTAAAGTGTTTGCTCATTATTAAGGAAAATACTAAATAATAAACATCATTTAGTTTAATGTTGTTTACATTTCAAGCTGTGAAAAATCAATGAATTAAATAAAAGCTGAAAATAAAAGTCCTGGTCCTTTGTGTGAGCCCACTCCTACCAAGAATTCAAAGGTGCAGGATAAGGTTTTTGGTCAGCACTGAACACATAGAAGACTCAAATATGCACATCCCCTGACATCTGGCACATATTTTAAATATCAATTGAAGTAATCACATTGGTTCTATGTATTGTAGCCTGAAGACCCCCTTTGTAATTTTGCAGCATCCCTTCTGCTTCTGTGAACTGCCATAAGTAGAATGTGATGACTACATGACTACTGCCTAGATAAGTATGAGGCAGGATAGATTAGGGGAAAGGAGGCATGGTAAACAGCAGCCAGGAATTGAGAAACAACCACTGTATTTAGAAACATAGAAGCCCTATCTTCTTTGCTGTAACCCTTATAAATTTATAACTTCATAAATTGCAGTATTAGTACAGGATAAAGAAAAAGGCAAGAGCAGCTTTCTCCATCTGGCTTCCTGATGGTCCAGAATAACTAGTGTGCTAAGAAAAAACAGCAAGGGCACCATAAGAAAAAAAAAAAAAAAAAGAAGCCGGGCGGC